GAATTTTTAAAAGCAACAGGAAGGGAAAAGCTGAATAAAACTCCTGTTTCACAGACTAGTTAAAAAAGAGGGGGGACAGTATAAATGCCTGTGCGAATGACACATTGTTTCATTCAAAGACCTTTTAAAGACATTTCATTATGTGAAGGATTCTAAGGGGAAAAGCAGAAATGGATTTTGTTGAATGCACATCTATCTGCAGATTTGTAGCATAAAATAATTATGTCTCTCTGAAGATGCAAATGCCCATTTTCATCCGTAGGAAGAGTGATGATATATTTGTCACCTGAATTTGAAATATACAGGTTCATAGGCAACGAAGCAGCATTTTCCATTTCTTGCTGCATTTCTAGGGGGACAAAAAAATGGTGGCACTGAATTGCACTGAGACATCATACAACATTGTGCTGTCCCTTTTTTGATTCTCTATTCCAATGTGTGACCTTTCACCTCTCTGTTAATAAACACTTTTTAAAATAAAGTGAGGAAAATATTTTTAAAAAAAATTTGTATTAAAAAAATTAAAACTGACAACAATATACTGATTTTTTTTTTAAACAGTAAAAATATGTAGAAGTGCACATAATACATTGGTGAGTGTGGTTATTTATAGATATTACTGAGTACTAGTGTACCAAATTTAATACGCATTGACACATTTTCCATGGCAAATATATTTTTTCTTAAGTACATTAGAAAATAAATAGCAGCATGTATGCTAGCACATTTTTAAAATTTTATGCAGACGCTAGCTACAAAAGACATAATTCTTTATGTACCCAAAGTTTAACACATAAATATGATTTATTTAGGTTTTGGGAAAACATTTTCCAATACATCCACTGTTGTGTAGATGAAAAATATGTAATAAGCTAAGTGCACAACTTAACATGAAATGTACTAACAGTCAAAATAAGTTTACAGCACAATTATACATGACAGTGACGTACAAGGAAAAAAGTGTGTAAATGGCAAAACAGACATGATTCCTGGGAGGAATCAGCTATGTAGATTAGAGTACACACATTTAGATTTAGATGCCAGGAAGCCTGCAGCACCAGTGTGAGATAAAATCAGAAGATGCAACTATTGCAGGTCAGTGGAGGATGGATAGGAAAATATCCTTTTGAAATAAAATTAATTACCTTGAGAAGTAATTTTAACAGTTTACACTCAAGGCAGAGTTGTAGCTGTATAAGCCATGTGACAACACAGAGGAAGAATGTTCTTTGCAATAGAAAAATATTTGCTAAGTCAGAAGACTTAATGCTGAAAAAGCATGTGACCTAGTCTGTGGATTGCGATGCACAGTCTATGGAGTAAGCATGCAGAAATGCTGCATAAGTTTATCAAATCGAGCTCCTTATTCTGCAGCCAAAAGTATAATGAATCCATAGTGTTTCTGATCATTTAATGAGATTGTGCACTATCAAGAAGGAATAAAAATGAAAAATCCTACAGAAATCAGAGCTGAATAAAAAGATATAGGTATGAAGATACTGAAGTAATTTCAGTGTTTTTTTTAAAGTGCACACAAGAACATGCTTAAAACAATAACGAAAATAAAGGAACTTCCCTTTAAATTTACTCTTTACAGGACCTTCTCTTGGGGCTTTTCGCAGTGGTGGGAAGGAAGAGTTTAATGGTTTTGTGTACAGAAAGTGCTAAACCTGCTAACATGAGAAAAAACACAAAGGTGAAAAAAAAACCAAAGGTGCTTATAGACCATGCTTTGCTAAGAAGCTACAATCATCCTCATTCTTGAATGTCTGAAAAGTAATTTTTGACAAGAACTGGCACTGTTCTTTGGGTACATTGTCCAAACCACTTAGTCTTTGATCTTACCATTACCATTAGTTTGATCTTACCAGAAAAGAACCAAACATCACAACTGCATTGCACAGAGAAGGTTGCCTTTCCTTCAAACACTGACATAAAATCTTATTTAATTTCATATGAATTTCTAACTTCTATCTATGATGAAATTCTGATGTTTCTAACATTTCTTACAAATAACACTGAATAAATCATGCCTAAAGTCCTTATTAACTAGCGTGGTAAAATCCACAGTAAAGATCACGTGAGCAAATGCATGCACACACACATACATATGCATGTGAATGAGCTGCGTAGTCAGAGCTAAGATTCTTTAGACTTTCCCATTTTCTTTGTATTATGTTCAATACTGAAAAACAGTCCAGAGTTCCCTAATATTGGGAAAA